AAAGGCTACTACAAAATATAGAATTACTGATGAAATATGTGTTTCATCTGCAGATATCAGTGTCTGTTTTGCACAGGTGTAGTCTTACTTGGAGAGATGAGAACTCACAGGCAAAAGGGACAGACAGTACAAGTGATTTCTTGTCCTCTTGATATCATGTGGAGGCTTTGCTTGGGCTGCAGCATAGGTGAACGCCATGCATTGCCTGCGTTCGCGGGGACCTCCCTGTGAATGCACAGGGACCTCCATTCCCCTACTGTGCTCCCATTTTATGAGGCAAGTGGGAGAGCTACACTGAACGTGGTAGGTAGCAAATAATTTGACCTCAACCACCAAGCAATCGGAGCTCAGGTGATAGTGTTTACTCTGGTACCCTGAAACTTGCCAGCTGCTCGGAATCTGTAGACTTTGTCCCACCCACCCACCGTCCTGTGGAAATCTAAGTTTGGTCATAGATTCCCGTGCATGGAGGATGGGAAGCTCTGGTCATGTGGGAAATTGAGCCCTCTCACAGGTAGACTGGTTGTGTTGGTCCCAGCTCTGTTTGCTCCCTTAACAGCTAGAGAGTTGCCGTAGGGTCATGTATCAGGCAGCTCTTCTTGTCTCTACAATGTCTTTCATACTTTCCGCTGCTTCCTGTTTGTCGCAAGGGCTCCTTCACAACTTTCCCAATCCCAATCCTAATATGATCCTTTGAACTCATCCAGCAGGTCCGGAGTTATGGCCCACAGGAATGGCAGCGGGAAGTTCAAATTTGGCAAGAAATTCAAGCCTGCTCTTTGAGGCTGGAGTGAGGCCACTCAGGAATCACTAAAGTCCAGGTCTGCATGTGATGGTTAATATTAAGTGTCAACTTGACTGGATCGAAGGATGCAAAGTATTGTTCCTGGGTGTGTCTGAGAGTGTGTTGTCAAAGGAGATTAACATTTGAGTCAGTGGACTGGGAGAGGCAGACCCACCCTCAGTCTGGGTGGGCACCATCTAATCAATTGCCAGTGCCACTAGAATAAATCAGGCAGTAGAACATGGAAAACTAGACTTGCTGAGTCTTCTGGCCTCCAACTATCTCCGGTGCTGCATGCCTCCTGCCCTCGAACAACAGACTCCAGGTTCTTCAGCTTTTGGACTCTTGAACTCACACCAGTGATCTGCCAGGGGCTCTCGGGCCTTTGGCCACAGACTAAAGGCTGCAATGTTGGCTTCAATACTTTTGAGGTTTTGGAACTCGGACTGCCTTCCTTGCTCCTCAGCTTGCCGATGGCCTATTGTGGGACTTCACCTTGTCACCGTGTGAGTCAATACTCCTTAATAAACCCTACTTCATATATACATCTATCCTATTAGTTCTGTCCTTCTACAGATCCCTAACTAGTACAACGTGAAACACTACCAACAGCCATAGTTACTCACAAAAGTCTGAGTCCAGAAATCACTATCTCCCATTCTTTGAGCACTTCCGAGTGCACTATATTAAAAACTGGACTTAGTAAGGAAAAAAAGAAAGTAAAATTTAATAATAATAGTGTCCATGCCAAGAAAGGATAAAAAATATAAAAGGCAAATTAAATAAGAGATCATGATTATAACTGCTCTCGTTTTTTTAAAAAAATATTTAAAACACCACGATTCCTACTCAAGTTGCTTTTGAGAGAGAGACAGAGAGAGATTGAGCCACCTTTCTTTTCCAACTCAAGGTATTGCCCTAAAAGAAGGCCAGCTGCATGATATATATAGGCGTCATTTCAGCAATATATCTTATTTATAAAAGGCTGCATTCTGGTCAGGGCCCCGTTCCTATCCTTCCCTTCCGTATAATATTTCCCACATTAAACTGCCAAAGAATACACGAGTAATAAGAACAGGAATCATGTGCACAGCTTACTGTCTACATTAAGGAGAGCTTATACTCCACCGGCTTCATCAACATAACTTTACTAATACAGCAATCTGTTGCCTAGGAAAATAAAAGTTGCGAAGAACTTTACTGTTCATTTCAGCAACTGCCTGAAAGATTCATCAACTCTTCAGTCAAAAGTGTCAAATGACATTTTTCAATCCCAAAACTCATTGAACCGTTGCCTAAAAATGTTTGTCTTCTTGGCTCCACCAATCCTACATCACTATGATTCCTACCTGACTCTAACCAAACAATCCCCCACTTTAAAAGACCCACTTTACACTAGATTTCAAAATCAGAATAAATATACTGAAATCCCTTCGACATCTGACACACTAGTGCCTCTGTCGAGGTAGTGCTCTCCCTTACAGCACTATGCAAATAATGTCAGCCCTGTGTTATGAACAGGCTATTTAGCTGATATTTGGAGAGTACAGTATATGATCCAGTTAGTCACCACTGCTTTGCATCATGTCACAGGAGACTGCGCCTAGATCCTGTCATCAATATGTACGTATATTTCTGAATCAAAATACACGATCTGAATGGCCTACAGGTATATTCAGGCAAATCAGTCACTAGCCCAGAGATTTAAATGTGCAATAACACCCCCCCCCAAAAAAAACAAAATTAAGCATGTGTGAATATATTTAGTCTGCAGAAAAGTTTATTCCATTCCATTCATTAGAAGCATGGCAGAAAACCGAGAACCAGAGGAAAAAAGTGATTAATCAAAGCATGTGTAAAAATTGGTCAAGGTGGGATGATCGCTTGAGCCCGAAACTTCAAGACCAGCGTGGCATCAGACTGAGACAATGTTCTAAAAAATAAATTAATTGCTCAGGTGTGGTGTTCGCACCTGTAGTACCACCCATTTGAGAGGCTTCAGTATGAGGATTATTTGAGCCCAAGAGATCCAGACTTCAGTGAGGTATGGTCATCTCACTGCCCTCCAGCCTGGGAGAGAAAGCCACACCCTGTCTGAGAGAAAAAAAAAAAAAAGCATTGATAAATAAAGATATAAAAATAGTTTCTTTCTTTCACAACAGGCTTTTCTGAGACACATCCTCCATTAAGGGTGACATAGGACTGTGTGTTCCCAACGTTTCTCAATGCATGAGATTGTTTGATCAAAGAAACACAAATGCTCTCTTAAGTGCCTTTCTTTCCACTACAAACACCCTGTGGATGCGGGTATGAGAACAGCAGGAAAACCATGGTCGACCCTGCAAGTGGCAGACTCAGTGGGCATGCCCCTTGCTAAGCAAGTTCCTGCTGCCCATGTGACTTGCTGTCTGTCTTCTATCCCTGCAGAGCTGTGGAAGGAAACGTCATGACTTCTTTCTTGCCAACTATGACACAGCTGGTAGGTCAGCAGAGCAGTCCTCCCAGAAGTTGAAGTGTCAGTGAGTGGGAGGGAAAGCAGAAGGGCTTCCCGTAGGTTGGACCACTCGGTCCATGGCCTCATATAGATCCTCATCCTTCTACTAAAAGGCAGCGACATCACCATGGCCTTGCTGTTGTGGGGTCCTGGGCAGGGGAAGAAGTAAGGGCATAGTGGGGAGGAGGGTCAGATGAACACGGAATGAGTTGAAGGGTGACATTATTTGCAGTATTTCAGTCTCAGAGGCATAAAAAATACCACACAGAGAGGATGGATTCCAAAGTCCTTAGTGGGGACCTTGGAAGGAGCAGAGGACAGGGCATGGGGAGACAAGGAAGCGCAACGCGGCTCTTAAGGCAAGAGGGGACCTCACTGCGCATGCTCCTTTGGTGCCCCCTCAGTGTGCATATTCATTGGGCGTCCTCCCATTGGCCCTTCGCCCGTATGGTGAACGCCAGGGAGCTGTGATCCTGCAGCTCGGGTCCCTGAGGTCTGGATTCTTTCTCCCCTGCTGAGACGCAGCCAGTAGGTCCACAGGTCGCTCCAACTGGGAGTTGAAGCGTGAGTGAGAGTGCGGAGGAGCCAGCGGGCTTCCAGAGGGTCGGGGCGCATGATTGGTGACTCCCAGTGAGAAGGGGCTTGATGTCGTCGTCCTTCTCGTGCGGCCCCGCAGCTATGGGCCTTCTTGTCTTGTCGGGGTCAGAACCAAGGAAGAAGCAGGGCCTCGGAGTGGGACGGGGGTTAGGTGAAGCTGGGGCGATGCTGGGGTGCTGTTGGTGGTATTCCAGTCCCAGAAACGCCTGAAACTTCCAACAGAGGACAAATTCCAGACTCCTCAAGGGGCATCAGGCCTGGAATGTCGTGGGCGGTAAGGAAGGGGCCTGGAAATTGGGAACACTCCAGACTGGTGACCGCCACCCCAAGGTTTGTATAATGAACCGCAGAGGTGCCCGCCCGGTGAGGACTGCCCGGTGCTATGTGGCAACTTCTCAGCTCCATCTTGGAAGTTCGAATGGGTGGGAGGGGCTATGCATTCCAACAAACTCGATTTTAGGGGGGAAATGGCCCTAGCAAAGGGTGTGTGACAAAAGCCATGGGCACTTTAATTTTAATTCTCAAGCTGTATTTTCCTAAATGTCTCGCGATGGAGGGTCCAACTGTGAAACCAAACCTCATTGGAAATACCGTGCGTCTCTTGCCATAAGCCCTAAGGCATTGCTCAGCTAGCTTGACGAACATAAGTGGCTGTGCAAGTATTCGATTCAGAAGGCATACGCACTTATACATGCCCTCTGACTTACCTTTCAATGTCTTACCAAATTTTTAAAAATTGCAAGTTAGCATTTGGCCATGGAAGTGCTCAAATGTAGTATCCACTCACATGCATTTTTCCAGTCACGGTATTCTGGTTTTCGGTTTGGTTTGGTTTGGTTTGGTTTTTTTGAGATGGAGTTTTGCTCTTGTTGCCCAGGCTGGAGTGCAATGGCGCGATCTCGGCTGGCTGCAGCACTCGCCCCCGGGTTCAAGCGGTTCTCCTGCCTCAACCTCCCGACTAGCTGGGATTAAGGCACTCACCACCACGCCCGGCTAAGTTTTTGTATTTTTAGTAGAGACGGGGTTTCACCATTTTGGCCAAGCTGGCCTCGAACGCCGGACCTCAGGTGGTCCATCCTCCTCAGCCTCCGCAAAGTGCACACTGTTCTGTTTGCAGACTGAAATATGAGTTGGCGAGGAAGAAGATATAGACCAAGACGATGTTTACGACTTGCTCAGCTGGTTGGGCCTATGCCTGTGAGTAACTTAACGTTCGATTTTTTCCAATAGCAGAAGTTTTTTTGTGTGGTAGTTATTGTTGAACTAGTATAGATACACTGATAAAGGTCTCCCATGTTGATAAAAAATGATCATGGCATCTCATGAAGGAAAGAGTAACCCAAGAGGACTACACACTGTTTTCGCCTGGATGTGTGAACTTGTGTTCCTCGATTTGACTGGTGATTTCCTCCTCATGCTTATTCATAGCACGTTACACCCATTCAACCCCACATGAATTAAAATGGCTTCCAACGCCATTGAGGGTAACGGTCTCAGAGTAACCTCTCTATGAGAAGAGTAACTTAACGAAGAATAAGTATGTGGAATAGTTTTGGGATAGTGTTGGAGCATGTCTTTAAACATGTATATGATCAGAAGTATCTGTGTAATCTGTATATTCATATTATTGACATGCATTGATAAGAAGAATTTTTTATCTGCACATGCACACACCATGTCCCCGCCCTTGTTCCAGGAGCCCAGTGTGCCAGAGCCTCAACAAGAAGGACCACCAACTGAAAGTCAGGATCATACACCTGGTCAGAAGAGAGGAGAAGATCAGGGTGCAGCTGAGATTCAAGGTGCTGGGAAGGGAAAGAAAGAATGTCTATGGGGGGAGGAGGCCTGTGTGTGCATGACGCCTTATGCCATGACCAGTAACAGGACGAAAGAAAACAACAGGAAAGGATCTCAAACATTTGCTGAGAGTTTTGCAAGAGGCTGGAAATGTGATGGGTATAGTTTGCAGCTTCCTGCAGTCCCTGGATATGATGAATCTTCTCTTTTTCTTTGAGATGCATTTTGTATGCTTGAAAATATAGTCCTTCCTAAATCAGATGAAACCATTTAATTGGTTGTATAAAAATGTACATTATTTCACCAGTTTAACTTGATATTCTTAGGACGTTGCAGTGAGATCTTCTCAGCCATGGTGTTCACAGTGTTGTAAGCACCCTTTGATAGCATGTGGAGTGCCAAGTCACCCTACCATATAACACCCCAAATAAAGCCCATTTGCAAAGGAATCTTAGCCTCATTTTATAAATAAGAAAACGGAGGCCGGGCGTAGTGCCTCACCCCTGTTATCCCTGCACTTTGGGAGGCCGAGGTGGGCGGATCACTTGAGGTCAGGAGTTCGAGACCACCGTGGCCAATATGGTGAAATCCTGTCTCTACTAAAAATATACGAACTCGTTGGGCGTGGTGGCACACACCTGTAATCTCAGCTACTAAGTAGGCTGAGGCAGGAGAATTTCTTGAGCCCGTGCGGCAGAGGTTGCAGTGAGCCGAGATCACACCACTGTACTCCAGCCTTGGTGACATAGCGAGACTCCGTCTCAAAACATAAAAATAAATAAATAAGAAAACTGAGGCTCAGAGATAGAGACTTACCAAGAAAACTTGACTCATGGAGAAGGAATTCGTATTTTGTTCCAAGGTATGCATTCTTCCTACCATCTATTTTAGAAAATGTGAATGATATTTTGCTCAAAGATGCTTAATACTCCAATGTGTCTGTACTATAAGGTACTTCGATATTGGCTCAGGACAAAACGCAGTTCAGTGAAGCAGGATAGCAACTCCAGAAAAGAGGTCAATGAATGACAGCCACTGTTTCCTTTGGTGTATATTTTTCACAGTATGTTTGGTAAAAGGTGGATAACTCAGGACGTTGGCGTACAGGTGACTTTATTAGTAGGATATGGAGGGGGCTTTGAAAAGTTGTTTCAATATTTTTATAATTAGAAAGCTCCAAGTACGATAAGATTATCATGAAACGGAAATTGTTTTCTCAACGGATAGCGTTTTCAAACTAATCAGAGACAGAATTTGGGCCATGGATTATTTTAGCAATTCACTGTTAAGGGGTTTCCAGAATATGACTGTCAACAACGCTCATTAATTTCTTTGCACTTCAGTTCCCGCACTCCCACTGGAAGACAGTGGTTTTGCTGTTATATTTCGTACTTTTTTTCTTAATGACATTCATGTATGGAAAGTCACATATAGGGGCCTTTGGATCTAAGAATTACTTTAATAAAGTTTAACCCCAACATTTTCAAGATACCTCAACAGGGGATGAGTGTCAGGACCATAAGATTTGTCATAGGCTCGCCGATACATTGATCTAATCCTTCAGAAAATTACATTGAAGTTACGATTAAAATGCTATCCGTGAGGCTGTCCTGTTTTCCTAGGTAGCTGTGTGTTTATAATACACAATGGTAAAGTATGGGAAATGTAAGTGTGCTGAGACTTATCTTCAGATTGTCATTTAAGATAAGGTATCATAACACAGGAAAACAAACGTGGGACATCTTTGCTTCACATTTATTACCACAGTAGCTTATAGGCTTTTATTGCATAACACCGAGGAAAAGAAAAGGATCAGTTCCTTATTTATCATTCCTGTTTGGCTGCTCCAGTCGACATCCTTTTGGTATTTTTCAGTGCCCGACCTGGAAGCTGATCTCCAGAAGCTGTCTCAGTCAAAGACTGGGGATGAATGCGGAGATGGTCCTGATGTCCAGGGGAAGATTCTGCCAAAATCAGAGCAATTTAAAATGCCAGTCTGCCAAAATCAGAGCAATTTAAAATGCCAGAAGGAGGTATGTTACCCATTAAGATTCAAAAAATTATGTGCTGTCTGTATTCCATCATGTTATACTTTTGATAATAAAAGGAGAGAGAATCTTACTGTCCCTTTAAAAATAGAGTTCAAATGCAGACTTTCTTTGGAAGGTAATTCAGACCCTAGAAGCCTGACTGCAAAACTGAAACACTATCAGATACAGACACAAATTGGGTCAAAGCCATATTGAATCATCAAATAGCAAAGCATTTTCTTACTTCTGAGTATAACCAACAGCTAACAATTTTCAGATTATTTTGTGATTTCTGCTTTTCACAAAAACATACGCACTTGTAATACCACTTTGTATGAAATATGCTGATCCTCAGTGAGATTCTTGTACCAGTTTTAACATAATTTCAGAGCTTGACAACCACATAAATCCTACACCCATTTTTGCTTTTATTGAAAGAGGAATGCACACTGATAGATTAAAATCCACTTCAGTGCTGATTTCCCCTACATGCTGCTCTGGACTCTGTTGGAGAGAATTTCAAGATACTCGGATTTTCATGATTTGTTTATCATAACGATCAGCTTCAGTCCAGTTGTAATATCTGAGTTGAGATTTCATTGCTTCTAAGAAAACAAGCGGGCACTCTGCTTGATGTTTGTTTTTCCGTAAGGAGACCTTCATGAGTGTTCTTGAATTTTGTCAAATCCTGAATTCTCTCAGACTCTTAAACAATGATTGTTTTATTTTTATTTTTGCTTTTGTTTTGTTTTGTTTGGTTTTGTTTTGTTTCGGACGAGGTCTCGCTCGGCCGCCCAGGATGGAGTGCAGTGGTCCGATCTGGTTCCCTGAGACCTCCGCCTCCTGGGTTTAAGCGAGCCATGCCTCAGCCTCACGTGTATTTGGGATTACAGGTGCATGCCACCATGCCCAACTAATTTTTGTATTTTTAGTAGAAACAGGGGCTCACCATGTTGGCCAATCTGGGCTCGAACTCCTGACCTCAAGTGATCCACCTGCCTCGGCCTCCCAAAATGCTGGGATTACAGGTGTGAACCACCTCCCTCGCTGGACCCAGTGATTTGTGTTTTAAAGTCTTCCCACAGAACTGAATGACTGAATAATAAAATAGAAAGAGACAGTCAAGGTTTTGTGGCCCATGAAGTAGGGAGCCTGCATGTAGGTCAGTGATGCTCAAAGTGGTTGGAAGATGCCTGTGCTAAGCATGCTCCCTGCCCTCCTGTCAATCTTCATGAGCTACTGTGTGTAATTAGATTGAAGACATACGGTAACTCTAACCATATCAGAGGTTATATATTACAGGTTTCTGCCTTGAGTCATCAGATGATATGATTTAAAGTTCAAAGACTGTAACGTACGAAGTCCTGAGTAGTCCACATAAGTATCTTTTACACGTTTTTCAAATTGCTGACTTAATTAGAAGAACTTCTGAATTTAAAGGATGCACTGCATTTTTAGGGGAGAAATTATCTAAATGATTTACTCCACACTGGTGAACCACTCCATTAGACTATTTACATTAATAGATAGTGTGTAGACGATTTCCAGGAGCCTACTGAACAAGCCTCAGTTGTATTCTTAGACAGTTATAATTGTTAAATGCATATCTTATTAAAATAGATAACAAATTACATGATACAAGAAAATAATACTGAGACATAAAAAATAATAAAAGAGTCACAGAATAAACTTAAGGGAAAGGGAAACAGGCAGTACATGAAAGGTATGAATCATTAACAAAGGGAAAACTAATGGAAAAGTAATACATTTAATAGATCGTTCTTTTGAGAAATAGCTAGGAAGACAGCATCCAGCAGATGAAACAATCTTGAAGAAAATGGAAAAAGCACAACACGGAATGTGAATAAGACTCAGATATTGAATGTAGGGCATAATTGAAAGTGAATACATTCTTAAACACAATATTTTCAGAGTATGAAGAAATGGTTGACACACTAGATGCCTACATTATTTAATATATCCTGTACAATTCAAATATCTGGAACACCACAAGGATCAGTACAACTTCTGTGAAATTTGCTAGTTGTCCTCAAAAACAGTTACTTTTAGAAGCAAATATTTAGCTTTTCCAGATGTGTCTACTCCGTCTCTACTTCCTCCATTTTTCCACACCGGCTATGACATAACCTTCACACCACTCCAACACCGAACCATGACCGCACAATGCCAAACCCCTATGACTATTTAATTAATTATACAAATGGGAATACTTGTGAAAAAGGTTGGGTATTCATATTGACATGAGGACTATAGGTGAAACTGGATGCAAAATGGTTAGTGTATAAAAAGAACAGAGGTAAATTCAGTTTCAAAGCAAACACAGCACTTTCACAATAGAGAAAACAAATGCAATACTGGCCTTTCTATTCATTTCACTAATGTATTTCCTAAAGTGACATTAACAGTTTCTCAAGATAGCTTTCAGACTGTCTGCAGGAACCTATTGGACATTCAGACCATACTGTCAAGCCAAAACATTAAATTATGCATTTTTTCTGGGAGGAATTTTTTTCAGAAATTCTTCTGTTTCTTAGGTTTTTTTGTGTTCTGGTTGTATTTTCAGTAAAACTCTACACATTGTTTGCCATCTACTTTAAGCGTTTCTCCCTTCTAATAGGTTCACTTGATTTAATGTGATCTGTCCTCAGACTCAGCCTTTGGTTTTTCCTTCTAGCACGTGCAAAGCAGGGTGCGTTTTTAAAATGTTGCTAATGTATATGTTTGGAAGTGTATCCTCAAAGTCTTTACAGAGGTTCTTAGTTGAATATTAGCTACAGGAGATTCTTTTCGATTCTGGTTTTAGTCCATTGTATAAAACTAAACCTTGTGTCCTTTTGCATACCTTTAATTTCATCTGAATAGAGTTCTTCTACTGTGCCTCCTGTTATAAGCTGAACAGAGGGCAAACCAGCTAAAATAAAGATAACTGAAAAGAATGTAATCTGACTTATCCGAGATATTTCAGACTTAAAAAATCTCAATAAAGTTTCTCCGTAGCCTTCCGAAACAGCCATCACACACCTGCTGTCATTTATTCCTCACATAATAGATGCAGCATTGAACATTTGGCCGGGTGCAGTGGCCCATTCCTGTAATCCAAGCACATTGGGATGCTGAGGCAGGAAGATTGTTTGAGCTGGGGAGATTGAGACGTGCTTGGGCAACATGGCAAACCGTCTCTCTACAAAATGGATGAATGAATGCATGAATATATGCACATATGTATGTAGGTGTAGTCCCAGCTACTCTGGAGGCTGAGGTGGAGGATCCCTGAGCCTAGGAGGTCGAGGATGTAGGTAGTCATGTTCACGCCACTGCAGCTCCAGCCTGGGTGAATGCGACTCTGTCTGAATAAAATATAGTATCATTTTTGCAACTCTGCATTCTGATTGAGCTGCTATGCACATGTGTGATATTGTGAATATATATATTTCATCCTGGACCCTGCTTACTGTCATACAACTCCTACAGGTTTTGGAATCTCCACATAGTGATGTCTTTTTGTATGCTAGTGAGTTGACCATTTGCTGGCAGCTCCTAGGTAGCTCTAGGATGGGGGATTAGAGGGTTGGGACTTTTCAGCCACATCCCCAACCTTCAGGACAGGGAGAGGGGCTGAAGGTTAAGTTGATCACCAATGGCGGGCCAACAGTTTAGTCAATCATGCCTATATGATGAAACCTCCATCAAACCCAAAAGGACAGGGTTCAGAGAGCTTTTGCCTAGCGGAACACATGGAGAGTGGCATGCCTGCAGAGGCCATGGAAGCCCCCTTTACCTCTTCCCTTCTATTCCTTCTACGTATCTCTTTATCTGCATCCTTTGTTAGGATATCCTATTTTCCACAAAATATGTGAGAATTCCCCGGGCTATCGAGCTGGATGAAAGAACTAGGGCCTAGGTGTAGAAAGGGAAAGCAACTAGGGCAACTTGATGAAGCAAAATTATCGGATCCTACCTACACTGTCTCCTTACACACGATGGCATGGCATAGCCATGGGATTCCCTCCTGCCTCTTACACACTGGCCTTGAGATGGTGGGCAAGATACTTACGTCCTGTGGGACAGTTTCCCATTTTGAAGTGAAATTAGAATACTTACACTAAATACTTGCTATGAAGAATAAATGAAATAACAAGATGCAGGCATTACATTGCAGATAAATTTACTAGTTATCTTTCCTTAATCCCTTTAAAATGTCAAATATTTTCATTCCATTTTTCTTTACAACTACATCTCTAGTATGTGATAACTGCTTTGGAATTTCAAGTAGGAATATCGGTCTACCTTTTTAAATGCATTTGACTTCAGAAGGTGATTTCAATGAACATGAAAGTAAATAGCAGTGTAGCTGGCATCAGACACGCATTGATTCTGAAGCTGATTTGTAAATCACCGAGGTGTGACAAGGCCAACCCTATGTCAGTACTATGTGCTGAAAATTTGTTTGATGTGTGTGATGCCAAGGAAGAATAAGTCTATTCCAGTCAGTCAACACCACACAACTCAATATCACAGTGTGTCAAGAGCTCAGGCAGTCCCTAAGCAGCCCTATGGTGGCTAACGGCCAAGGATCACCAGCAGTTGTTATTTTATTGTCATATATTCATCAATTTGAGGGTAAGAAGACAATGAGCCCAAATGAATCAAAGTGGTTGATTACTTGCAGACTCAGCAAAAGCAAGATTAGCATTGTGTCAGCACTGTGTCCCTGGGGGTCCCAGGGTACTCACACGGAATTGGAGAAACCCAGTGACAGTACAGATGGTGGGTCCCTCTGCCTGTGAGGAGCCCACAGTCATATTCCTAAGGCCAATTTTTGAAACCACACTGAATCCTGAACCCAAGATCACACCTTACCGAGCCAAAGTATCATGGGACACAGGTGACCCAGCTCCTAACATCTCAGCATACAGAAACACCAGACGCTCATCCATGCCGCAATATGAGGACCCAGGTCAAGGATTACCCTGAACTGGATTCTGCCTGCTGACAGTTCTCAAAACCAAAGATAAATTAAGAGTTGATTGAATGGGAATCTTAGAGGGAAAGTGTTTTTGTGGGATGGTATTATTGAGGTTTTGCTAGCTTTTTGCTCTGATGATTGTATGAAATTTGCTGGGGGTGTCCTAACAAGGGTAAAGCCTTGCAGTCCAGGGCATCACCTGTGCCCTCTGGGATTGTTCTACCTGTGTGCCCTGAATATCCCATCACTGCCTCATCCCGGGAGGGCGCGGTACATCAACTTCAGCTTCCTGGGCCATAGTTGTGAGCCCGAAATGCTGGCTTGAGTTGGATAAAAAATGGTTAATAAGCAGAATGTTAGTTAGGAAGTCACCTGCCTTTGTCAGATAGACCTTCAGCATTAATAGGATTCGTATAAGATGAATGTGATGGGAAATTTGATGTGTCAACTTTGCTACGCTATCACGCATGAGAAATGTTCACTTTGGACTGTGGCAGATGTCTCCCCTGAAGGGTTTTCTTTACGTGAAAACTAGCATTTAAATCAGCAGACTTTGGTAAAACCTAATTGCCCTCCCCAATGGGTGGGCTCTATCCAGTTCCTTGAAGGCCTTCAGAGAAGAAGACTGGGGTCCTCCACAAGATGAAGAAATTCTGCCTCCACACTGCCCTTGGATTTGGACCTCTGCATCACCTCTTCCCGGGTCTCCAGCCTGACATCCTGCTCCGTGAGACTTGACTTGCCAGTCGCAACACCTCCATGGGCTAGGCCTCAAACTCAGTCTCTCTCTCTTTCTCTCTCCACCCACCCACACACACACGTGTGCACGCATACACACACACACACACACACACACACACACACACACACACCGAGGAACCCTAACCAATAGGCTGCTTATGTCTGGGACCCTTAGGGCATAACTGAGATCAGTACTGCAGGTTGGTGTCACTCTGTACTTATGTCTGGACCTTAGGGCATAACTGAGATCAGTACTGCAGGTTGACGGACATCCACGTGGCTCATCACTGTGACTCAGGCTTGGTCATCCAACCATGTAGCGATCACTACAATTCCACAAGTGTTCCCTGCCCTCCTTCTGCATATGAGGTCCTCTGAGATATTTTTAAGTCAAATGTCTAATACAAAACCAGTTTGTGTTCTTTCAGCTTGTATTCATTTAAAACCCGTGGTTGCTCTTCACCTAAGTAATAGAAGAACAACATTACTAGGCAGAACTGTATTTAGTGACATTAAAGGTATGCAAAGGACACCAGTGTTTTAGCTGGGCATACAGTGGACTAAAACCAGAAGCCTATGAGTCATCCATTGGCTTACATGCAGTTAGGCCTCTGTAGAGATTTTGAAGACAGATTTCAAGCCTATACATCATCAATACTTTTAAACACATCCTGGTTTCCAGTGCTACAAGGAAACCAAAAGAGAGTTAGAGGCCAGAACACTCAAATCAGGTGAACCTATTAAAAAGTGGTCAAAGCAGAAAGCAAACATTGTGTATACTTTTACTAAAAATATAACCAACACACAAAAAATGCTAAGAAACAAAAGGAATTTAAAAAAAATGTTTAATTTAATGCTTTGGCTTGAAACCACATTCTGGATGTCCAGTAGACTCCTGGAATAGTCTGAAAAACTATCTTTAAGAAAACATTTTATTGCATTTGTTTTTTATCTGTTGTATCTGAAGTGCAAAAATGTGTGTTTGGGCTAGTTTACCCTTCTGTGGTTTTTATGTACCGTAATCATTTTCCCACCTCACCTAAAGTGCTAATGCACACATGAATACTGCCTTTGACATTTGAAAGCATTCCTGTTTGTGTAATTAATTATAAGTGGTCACACTAGTTTTAAGCTATCACTATCATTTCTGATGTCAAAACGTGAAACCATTATATATCATGAACAGTGTGGCAAAACAAAAAAAAAAACGGAAATACAGGGATAGGACAGGAAAATGGAAAGGACAGTAAGACATCTGAGTAAGCCAACTATTTGTTTCTAAAAGTGTTTTTGAGGGACAACTAGCAAATTTCAGAAGTTCTTCCAGTCTTTGTGATGTTTAGGTATTCACATATTATAGGGATATATTAAATAATGAGACCGGGCGCGGTGGCTCAAGCCTGTAATCCCAGCACTTTGGGAGGCCGAGACGGCGGATCACGAGGTCAGGAGATCGAGACCATCCTGGCTAACACGGTGAAACCCCGTCTCTACTACAAAATACAAAAAACTAGCCGGGTGAGGTGGCGGGCGCCTGTAGTCCCAGCTACTCGGGAGGCTGAGGCAGGAGAATGGCGTGAACTTGGGAGGCGTAGCTTGCAGTGAGCTGAGATCCGGCCACTGCACTCCAGCCCAGGCGACAGAGCGAGACTCTGTCTCAAAAAAAAAAAAATAAATAAATAAATAAATAAATAAATAAATAATGTATATGTGCTTCAGCATATCAACCATTTCTTCCATACACTGGAAAATATTTGAGTATTCACTTTCAATTATAACCTATATTCAATATCTGTGTCTTGTTCATGTTCCATGTTGACCTTTTTCCATTTTTCCGAGTGTAAACTACTGGATACTCCATTCATAACTATTTCCCCCAAAAATCTTTTAAATTTGTTACTTTTGGATTCGTTTTCCTTTTACTAATGATTCGTATTCGTCTTTTATTCATTTCCTCTTTCCTTTTACCTTAGATTTATTCCTATTGCTCTTTATTATTTTTATTCTTCTCCTTTATCATGTAATGTGTTATCTATGCATTTAAGATCATAATCTTCCTAAGAATAACAGTTGAGGCTTCTTCAGTAGGCTCCTGAAACAGACTGAAAAGGTCTTTTGTTTGTTTGTTTGTTTTTGTTTTGTTTTTTTGAGACAGAGTCTCACTTTGTCGCCCAGGCTGGAGTGCAGTGGTCTGATCTTGGCTCACTGCAAGCTCCACCTCCCAGGTTCACGCCATTTTCTTGCCTCAGCCTCCCAAGTAGCTGGGACTACAGGCGCCCGCCACCACATCCGGCTAATTTTTTTGTATTTTTTAGTAGAGATGGGATTTCACCGTGTTAGCCAGGATGGTCTCAATCTCCTGACCTCGTGATCTGCCCGCCGTAGCTTCCAAAGAAAACTGTCTTTGAATGTAAATGGTCTAATGGAATGGTTCAGCAGTGTAGAGTACAAACATTTAGGTAATTTCTTCCCTAAATATGGAGTGCTCCCTTGAAATTCAGAAGCTCTTCTAATTAACAGTCAGCAATTTGGAAAATACGTGTAAAAGATACTTATGTCGACTACTCACGAATGAGGACGCGTATCGTCTTTGAACTTTAAAATTGCATCATCCGATGTCTCAAGGCAGAAACCTGTAATATGTAACCTATGATATGGGTTAGATCTCTATCATATATGTCTTCAATCTAATTACACACAGCAGCCCGCGAAGACTGACAGAAGGGCAGGGGGCATACTTAGCACAGGCATCTTACACCCACCTTGAGCATCACTGACCTACATGCATGCTGCCTACTTCATTGGTAACAGAAGCCTGTCTGTCTCTTGCCATTTTATGATTCAGTCGTTCAAGGGTTCACTGCGGGAAGGATTTAAAATGCAATTATTCTTTAAGAACCAGAGAATTCGGAATTTAACAAAATCCAAGAACAGTCATTTAGGTCTCCATACGGGAAAACAAACATCAAACAGGTTGCCCACTCATTTTCTTAGGAACCATGAAATCTCAACTCAGATATTATAACTGGAGGAAACTACAGTGAAAAACAAATCACATCTTTGTATTCTATCCAACAGAACATGAAAATACACAAATCAACACCCTTGAAACAGATTTTAATGTATCTGATTTGCATTTACTATTTTCAATAGTAAAAGATGGATGTAGAATTTTTGGAATTCACCCAAAATCTCACAAATTATGTTAGATCTGGTACTAGAACCTCCTTCAGTACTCAGCATATTTCACAATAAAGTGGTATTATACCTTACTATGTATTTGTTGAAGCAGAGATTAGAAAAGAATCTGAAAACAGTTAGCTATTGGTTATAGTCACAAGTAAGAAGATTTACATTTGATGATTCAATACGGCTTTGACTCCAATTTGTTTCTGTATCTGATAGTGGGTTAAGCTCTCCGGTCAGGCATTTGGGTCTGAACAACTTTTCAAAGAAGGCCTGCATTTGAATTGTGTTTTTAAAGGGGCAGTAATGTTCTCTCTTTTATTATCAAAAGTATAATATTGTAAAAAAACAGAAAGCACGTAATTTTGCATCTGAATGGATAGCATACCTCCTTCTGGCATTTTAAATTGCTCTGCTTTTGGCAGAATTGTCCCCTGAACATCAGACCATCTCAAGATTCATCCTCAGTCTTTGACTGAGACAGCTCCTGGAGATCAGCTTCCCAGGTCAGACACTAAAAATACAGAGTGTTCCTTGGATTGAAGCAGGCAAACAAGGACAAATAAGGAAAAGATAGTACTCTTTTTCCCTCAGTGTTAAGTGAAATAAAAGCCTGTAGATCAGTGTGGTAATAAATGTGATGTAAAAGATGGCATACTTTTGTTTTCCTGTATTATGAATTTATCTTAAATGACAATCTGAGGATAAATCAATTACACCTACATTTCCTATACTTTACCATTGTGTATTATGAATAGTGAATATCGACTATCTAAGAAATCTATTCTGCCACATGGATAGAATTTTAATCATAAATGAAAATGTAATTTTCAAGGATTAGGATCAATGCACACTGCCTAGAGAAATCTTACAGTTGTGACACCCATCCCTTGTTGAGGTGACTTGAAAATTATTTAGATAAATTAACATTATGCTTGGGTCTAAGGGCCCTGTATGTAACTTTACATAAATGAATCACATTTAGAATAATGTACCAAAAAATAAATAGAAAATCACTGTCTTCCAGTGAGGGTACAGAAGTTGAGTGCAAAGAAATTAGTGGTCACTGTTGAGTCATATTCTGAAACCTCTTAACAGCGAATTGCTAAATACTCCATGGCCCAAATTTGCCAGTGTTGGAACGAAAAGTACTATCTAGGTGAGTAAACAACTTCTGGATTCAGGATAAACTTTATGGTACTTTTAGTTTTCTAATGATGAAAGTGCTTCTACGACTTTAAAAGCCCCCTTCGAAATCATGCTAATATAGCTACCTGGCATGCCAGCAAGTCCTTGAGTTATCCACCTTTTTACCAAACATCCTGAAAAATTACCGATCAAAGGATATCACCAAAGAGTGGCTGTCATTTATTGTTTTTCTGGAGTTTCTATTCTGCTTCGTTGAACTGTGTTTGTCCTGGAGCCAACACTAAACTACCTTAGAGTACACACACATTCAAGTACAAGTATCTTAAGCCAAACCACTGACCTTTTTCTTATTACAACATGGATAACACAAACCTTGGGACAAAATATGAATTCTGTCTCCATGAGTACAAGGGTTCTTGGTAAACCTCCATTTCAGAGCCTCAGTTTTCTTATTAATAAAATGAGGCTCAAGGATCTAGAACTAGATGTACCATGTGACCCAGCCATCCCATTACTGGGTATATACCCAAAGGATTATAAATTATGCTGCTATAAATACACATGCACACGTATGTTTATTGCAGCACTATTCACAATAGCAAAGACTTGAATCAACCCAAATGTCCATCAGTGACGATTGGATTAAGAAAATGTGGCACATATACACCATGGAATACTATGCAGCCATGTATGATGAGTTTGTGTCCTTTGTAGGGATACGGATGCAGCTGGAAACCATCATTCCCAGCAAACTATCACAAGAACAGAAAACCAAACACCGCATGTTCTCACTCAAGAAGTGGAACTGAACAATGAGATCACTTGGACTCGGGGAAGGGAACATCACACAATCGGGCCTAAATACTATGGGGAGGGGGAGGGGAGGGATTGCAGCTGGGGAGTTATACCTGATGTAAAATGACGAGTTGATGGGTGCAGCACACCAACATGGCACAAGTATACATATGTAGTGCAACCTGCACGTTGTGCACATGTACCCTACAACTTGAAGTTTAATAATAATAAATAAATTTTTTAAAAAAAGTATTCTAGAAGGAAAATTTAAGAAAGATCACCAATTCAGATTCAAGAGATCTAGATTCTTGTTCTGGTTTGTTTTGTCATTTCACCTCAGACCTTCTACATTGCAGAAGGCAGAGGTTCATCTATGTTGTTTTCTCTTGTACCTTCAATTTTAGTACAGTGTTTGCACATACTATATGTTCAATAAATATTTAAATATTTACTAAAAAAAAATAAAATAAAAATAAAATGAGACTAACATCCTTATGCAAATGGGCTTTATTCAGGGTGTTATATGTAGGATGACTTGGCACCCACATGCTACAAAAGAAGGGTGCTTACAGCGCTATTGATAATGCCTCAGAAGATCATACAAACATTCTCTAAGAAGAACAAATTAAACTAGCTAAATACTGCACATTTATACAAAGCTAAAACTGCTTCATCTGGATTTTAGCAAGGACTGTATTTTCAAGCATACAAAATATATTTCAAAGGTAAGAGAAGATTCAATATATCCAGGGATTTAGCTGTAAACTATACTCTTTCAATTTTCCAGCCAACTTTCAGCAAATGTTTGGCGGGTCCTTCTAATGTTTTTTTCCTCTGTTACTGGTCACGTGCATAATGCATGATGGCCACATAGGCCTCTCCCCTGCATAGACATTCTTCTTTCCCTTCCCAGCACCTCGAATACTTCAGCTGCACTCCTGATCTTCTCTCTTCTGACCAGGTGTGGATCCCGACTTTCAGTTGGTGGTTCCTCTTGTTGAGGCCTCTCATCACTGGGCTCCTGGACCGTGGGTTGTGTGTGTACAAATAAAAAGTTTGGCTGGGCGCAGTGGCTCATGCCCAGCACTTTGGGGGAAGCTACAAGTGAGTAGATCACGAGGTCAAGAGTTTGAGACCAGCCTAGCCAACACGCTGAAACCCTGTCTCTACTAAGAATACAAAAATTAGCCGGGCATGGTGGCGCATGCCTGTAATCCCAGCTACTTGGGAGGCTGAGGCAGGAGAATCGCTTGAACCCCGGGAGGTGGAGGTTGCATGACAGATCACAATTCACTGCACTCCAGCCTGGCTACAGAGCAAGACTCTGTCTCGAAAAAAATTGTTATCAATACATGTCAATAATGCAAACAAACAGAACACATAGATATTTCTGATCATAAGTAAGTCTAAAGACATTTCTCCAACACTATTCATATACTTATTATTCATCAAGTTATTCTTCCCACAGAGAGGTTACTCTAAGGCGGAGTTACCCTCAAGGGCTTTGGAAGGTGGTTTAATCTATGTTGGGATGGATGTGTGCAATCTGTTGCAGAATAAGACACACGGAGGAAGCCGTGGCAAAATCTGGGAACACAAGGTCATCCATCCAGGCAAACCAGAATGTAGGCCGGGCGCAGTGGCTCAGGCCTGTAATCCCAGCACTTTGGGAGGCTGAGGCAGGTGGATTGCTTGAGCTCAGGGGTTCAACAACAGCCGGGCAACACGGTGAAACCCCATCTCTACTAAAATACAAAAAGAAATCAGCTGGGCGTGGCAGCGTGCACCTGTAGTCCCAGCTACTCGGGAGGCCCAGGCAGAGAATTGCTTGAGCCCAGGAGAGACGGAGGTTGCAGTGAGCCAAGCCTGGGTGACAGAGCAAGACTCCATCTCCAAACACACACACACACACACACACACACACACACACACACACAACACGTAATCCTCTTGGATCAGTCTTTCCTTCATGAGACGCCATGATCATTTTTTATCAGCTCAGAAGACCTTTAACAGTGTATGTATACTAGTTCAACAACACTATCACACACAAAACATTCTGCTAATAGAAAACAACGAATGTTAAAGCACTACACATACTCCTGATCAGTACCAGGAGGTTGTAAACTTCTGTCTTGGTCTAGGCCTACATGTTGATCTTCTCTCACAAATTATACTTACCTCTGCAAAGAGAATACAGAATACTGTGATTGGGAAATGGCACTTGAGGTGAGGATAGCCTCATTCGAGCACTTCCATGGCCAAATGTTAACTTGTCACTTTTAGGTTTGGAAAATACTTTGAAGTGGTAAGTCCCAGGGCAAGTATAAGTTTGTGTGTCTTCTGAATAGAATGCTGTACAGCCACTTAAGGTGATCAAGCTTAGCAAAGTAATGTCTTGCCCGGCAAGAGACACTCGATATCCTGATGTGGTTTGGTTTCACGTCTGAATTCCATCATGGAGACGTGTAGGAAAATAGAGCTATAGAGAATTAAACTGGGAGTGACCAAGGTGTTTGTCATTAACACCCATTTCCTGGGCCCAGTTCCTCCCTAAAATCAAGTTTTGCTCGACCACAGAGTCCCATCCATCTGAATCCCTCCACGGTGGAGTTGGGTTGCACACAGCACTGGTGCTCACTGACACCTGTTCGCACTCTACAGACTTCCGGGGCTGAGGTCACCAACCCGCAGCATTCCCAGTTCCCAGGCTCCCTTCCCTACTGCCCACTGTTCATGCCTGTCCCCGCTGGGGAGTCTACAATCTGTCCTCTCTCTGTCAGGGTTTGAGGCATTTCTGGGACCAGATACCTCAACAGCACCCCAGCACGCACCCCATCGTACCCCAATCCTCCCACGTCAAGGCCCTCCTCTTCCTCCTTAGTTGTGGGCCCTGACAGAAAAGAAGGCCCAGGCTGCAGTGCCACATGTAAAGGATGAAGACCTCGAGGCCCTTCCCCTCTGAGTCTCTCTCCCACCGACGACCCTCCAGAAGCCCACTGGCTCTCCTCACCCCCTCACTCACACTTCAACTCCCAGCTGATTGGCCTGTGGACTCACCTGCTGTGTCTCAGGAGAGAAAGAACCAGACTCCAGGAACTTGACCTCACAGCCTGAGGCATTCACCACGTGGGTGAAGAGGTAGAGTAGAAGACACCCGGTGAACATGCTCACTGAGGTGGGTGCCCAAAGAGCATGTGCAGTGAGATGTGTACTTTGTCAAGGGCTGTGGTGTCCCTCCTGCCCACCCCCTGCCCCCACCCTTTCCTCCATCCTAGGTCCCCACTAAGAACTTTGGAATGCATCCTCCTGTGTGTTTTTTATGCCTCTGAGACTCAAATACCTCAAATAATATCATCCTTCAAAATTCACTCCATATTCACCTGACTTCTCCCTCTATGGCTCCTTGTTCCTCCTTTCCAGGCTCCCCTCAAGGGAGCAAGTCCATTGCGGTGTGTCGCGACTTCTAGTAGAAGGAGGATCTCTATCAGGCCATGGACCAAGTGGCTCAACCCATGGGAAGTCTGCCCACTTTCTCACACTCACTCATACTTCAACTTGGGAGGACTGATCTGTGGACCTACCTGATGTGTCATAATCAGCAAGAAAGAAGTCATGACATTTCCTCCCACAGCTCTGCAGGGACAGAAGGTAGACAGCAAGACCTAAGGCAGCAAGAGCTTGCATAGGGAAAAGATTTGCTCATTGAACTAGGACTTTCAGGGACAGCCAGACTTTTCTCGCTGTCATGATATCAGCAGCTACTGCCATCACACTGGCTGCAGCAGGGAGGCCTAGCCAGGGCTGCATGCTCTGTGGAGCCAGCAGGAGCTAGGAGCAAGTGATCCCCACCTTTCTGAGTTGGGGAGGGGAGCCTGGGCACCCTGCAGCTGCAGACTCCAGACCTCTCTGCTCTATGGAGCAGGCAGGAGCCGTGCCCTCCTGGGGCGGGACTCCAGCCACCCAAGTTGTGGCTGCAGATCCAAGTCTCCCTGTCCTCTTGGGATCAGAGCAGGCAGGATCCCTGCCTCCCGGCTGGGAAGCAGCCAAACGATCCATGCACAGACCCAGGAGCTGGGGACAAGTGGGAGGCCCACTCAGATTTGGTGGGTTGGGAGCTCCCCAGAGCTGCTGCAACTGCCCTCCTGCCGAGGACCCAGGCGTGTCTGCAGCCTGCACTCTGAAGCCCAGGAAGGCCCCCCCACTGTCACTGCAGGCTCAGAAGTGTCTGCTCCCACTGCCTGATCTCTACCTGCTCCCAGCACCCACTCTGATTTCAGAGCAGGTTGGGAGCTGAGCCCCTGCATCACACAGCTCAGCCAAGTGTGCACATGGCCAGGCCAGCACTGGCATGCCAGCCCCTTGACACCTCAAACACCTCCAGAATTTGATTGCTGAGGAACATGAGAGGGGAAACCAAGGGGGTTCTGAGGGCAGCTGGGCGGGTGGCCTGCAGGGTGCCCCTTGGTGTGAGCAGCCTGGGCACCATGGACTGCAGTGGGAGGCAGACAGGATCCAGAGCAGAAGGGGGCAGTCCCTGGTAAGGCCCCCACCTTCTCAGGCCAGGACTGGCCAGGCTGCCAATCCCAGACCAGAGTGTGGACTTGTGGTGCCTCTTTTCTGACTCCATCCATGGCTGTCCATGGATCAATGTACATGCACTTTCTCCCCTCTGAGGTCCGTGAATGCCTGGGACTCAGCCAGAGCAGGGCAGAGGATGGAGAGACAATGGGGATGACCAGCCGCAGAGAGGAGCTACCCTCTCCAGGGCCTCCTGCTAAGAGCTGCAGAGGTTGGAAAGACCTGCCGCAGAGAGAAGCCACACTCTTCAGGGCCTCCGCCGCTGAGAGCTGAACACTTGACCAAACAACCTGCCTACAGAGGAACTACCCACTGCGGATCTCCTCTGAGCTGTTCTAACACTCAATAAAGCTCCTCTTGTTAAAGGTTTTTTAAAAAGTGAATATACAATTTATTTAACATTCAAACTTCATTAAGATATGTGCAATATGGCAATTTTATGGGGGATTAAACCCTACCTAGGATGATTGCTTCCTGGAGCTTAGCAACAGGGTCCAGTTCACACTTAGCACTAATTAAATATTTTATTGAATAAATACAATACCAAACAAAATGTATTCAAATGCTTTCTAAAAAAAAAAAATTTAAAGGTCTTTCTACTCAGGCTAATGACTAACACAATAAAGGCAGATATGCTAGTTAAACATAATTGGCTGATTTTATACAGCACCTATATCTTTTAGTCCACGAGTATATTATTAAATGATAGAAAACATCTAATACAACCATTTCTACAGAATTAGGAAATAAATTTCTAAGAAAGAAAGATTTTACAAACCCCATCTTTTATACCCACCCCAACAGTCTAACTCTAAAGGGGATAGTCACTGACTTTCCTCACAAGAGCTCATGACTAATGTAGCTTTGCTATCAAAATCTATATTTCTGATCCATTATGAGCATTGAGATAAGATTCAAGTATTCCCAAAGAAAGAACCACAATGCATGTTGTGATCACCTGCTCAGCAACAGCGAGTACTGCATCCAAAACTCTCATCCCAGGAATTAAATAAGGTCAGCCACATTCATGGGAATCTCCTCTACTGTAGTATTGTAGAAAGTCTCAATGTCACAAAGAATCCTCTTGTCTTCTTCAGTAACAAAGTCTATAGCTACACCTTTCTCCCATATAGACCTCTGCCAATTCTGTGAATATAGCTTTTCACAATTGGTAGGTAGACTTTCATAATTTATAACCAAAGACACTTGTTGCACATCAATCCATGAGCCAACAAGTCAGTAGTGATCAGAACAGTGGCTGACCCTGCATCAGAATTCCTCATGACAACATATCTCCTCTGGTCCATGTCACCATGCAGAATAAGAAACTGTGAAGTCTCTGGCATGCATTTTTCTCAGTCAGCCAGTCCACTTTAAGCCTTGAGAAAAATAACAGCCTGCATAATGGCTTCATGTCTCGTACAAGTCACAAAGTGTTTCCAACTTCCATTCCTCTCTCTCTCAACATTAATATAAAACTGTTTGATTCCTTCAAGGGTCATCATTCTTTTTCACCAGAATTCGAATTGATCTCTCATGAATTTTTTTGGTCATCAAACATACATCAGTTGGCATTGTGGCAGAAAGCAGCACAACCTGAATGCTTGCTTATTTTTGAAAAATCTCATAGATTTCATCCTTAAACCCACAGCTCAACATTTCATCTACGATCCAAAACAAACATTTTGATCCATTTTGAAAAAGATATCTTCTGTTCTGCTATATCAAATACTTCCCAGGTGTACCAAAACAATATGTGCTTCAGCCTGCAGTTTTTGCATTTCAGTTCGAACATTTGTCTCATCAATGCAGACATGATAAGTTGCTCCCATATAGTCTCCAAGTGCCAGAATTACCTTTTGGATCTGTGAAGCCAGTTCTCTGGTGAGCGCCACACAGTACTTGGCCCCAAATCAAGCTGCAGGATGGAAATAGCAAATGTGGCTGTCTCTACAGTACCTAACTGAGCTTGAGCAATCACATCATACCTTTTCATACAGGTAATAGTAGTTTCTCTGCTGAATAGTGAAGCCTTCTCAAAATAGTAAGTATTAGATACCCAAAGAAGAGACTCTCTTTAAAGTTATATCATCAAAGTATATCAGCAATCTCATTCAGTTGCTGTCAATTACACCATCGGGGTCCATTCCCTCTGGGCTGCCATGTTCTCTGTTATAATCCATGGAGCCACCAGACATGATCCAAAAAAACACTCAGTGCCTGACTGAAAAGTCCTCTTTGTCTTGTTTGCCCTCCACTTGTCTGCATATCTTATTCTTCCTGGATGCAGAACAAGAACTTAAACAAAGGCGCCACCAGCCACAGAGGTTTCCAGCCGAAAATCTGACACCCCAAAGATCCCATAACACCCATATCTGCATCCACAGGGCATTGTTTAGTAAAAGAAAGGACTGGTGAGTTTTTGTTTCTTTGCCCAAACAATCTCCTGCTTTTGAGAAACACTGAAACACACAGTCCTACATGTCACCTTAGTGGAGGATGTATTTGTGACAGAAATAAGGAATTTTATGTCTGTATTTACATATGCTTTTTTCTAAGGATGTTGCTCTGTTGCCAAGGCTGGAGGGCAGTGGCATAACTCCTGGGTTCAAACAATCTTCATCCTGCAGCCTTCCAAGTGAGTGGTACTACAGGTGTGGATACAACACCTGAACAATCGATTCATCTATTTTTAGAGTGGTCCTACTATGTTGTCCATGCTGGTCTCAGAATTTTGGGCTCAAGAGATCCTCCACCTTGGCCAATTTTATACATGCTTTAATTAATCACTTTTTTCTGTGATTCTGGGTTTTCTGCCATGATTCCAGTGAATGTAACAACAGAAGATCTTACAGGGCAATAATCCTACTGCATTTATAATCAGACTAACAATTATTACACTTCAGTTTTTATGTCACCATTATGCTTAAATGACACATTGACCAAGACATAAAATTAAAGATTCTGAGATTTTGACACTATTAACAAATCAACTTGAGAACATATACAGTCGTGCACTATCAGAAAATTTTGCCTTGAAACTCATGTAGGATAGGCGAACCCTGTGCTGGAGCTTATTCCAATACTTTACTGAATAGTACTGCTCCTTTCTGAACAGGGCTAACCTGACAGGCAGGAGCCAGCAAGCAGCAACCTATGGGCTCTTGATAACTGTATTTTTACTCATTTATGCCCACTTTCAGCCCATGTAAATGAAGGGGTAGGTTAATGCAAATTGAAGGGCGAGTTGCCAGAACTGTCTAGTAATGCAGGGGAGCAGGGGAGAGAGTAAACTTGATCGTTGCCATGGCAGTTGTAAACTGTCATGGCGCTGGTGGAAGTGCTGTGCCAGTGAGCAATGAGGGCAGCTAGAGATTGAGGTCATCTCTGTCTGCGGGTTCATGCGGGTTTCTTCACCCTATCCTGTGAGGACCGTGAATTGGAGTCCTGTCAGGACCTGGAATTAAGTCCTGCATGTCTTCTACTTCAAAACTACATGAGAATGCAGGGTTTTCTTTCTTACTAAAACTAAGTGTCCCTTTAATCATCCCAAGCATATTTTTTATTGCATGCAGCCATTCAAAGTTTGCTTTTTCACAAATGCTTAGCCTAAGTCTTCTATTCAGCTTCAGTTTCCAGCTTAGATGTTTAGGAAGACCCATCAGCCAAATTTTAAGGCCAACGAGATTTCTGCATCCTATACTACTTTGTGATCCTGATAATTCTTATGTAACTGTCATATCTAACCAATAACACATCATCAGTATATAAACAAACCATAATATTTGGAGTTACGGTTATCATGTGAACATTCTCCTTCAATAATAGGTAATATTTTTAGACGCAACTTTGAATAAAATCATTCATATGCTTAATATATTGATATATT